TGGGAGTTGTTTTATGACTTAGCTGCTATACAAACGTTTGGTTTTTTACCCCTAGAAATACCTGAATCAGTTACCAAATGAACTTGATTGCTCTGATTTCCTGTCTCCCATTATTCTTCCACCTTAAAATTTAAAAAAAAACAACAAACCCAAACCTTCAAAACTGAAGCTTTCTTAAAATAAGCAGTTGTATTTGTGTACTCTGCATTTGTGAAGAAGAAAACTTCAGATATTTGTGTGTCCTAGTTCAAGTTCAAATAACGATCTGGTTCTGCTCAGAATGAGTGTTTCTCTGGGAAGAAGGTGGTATGAAAACTGGAATTTATGTGTACAGGAAAAGGAAGAAAAGAAGGCAGCATATACAATCGTGTACTTTTTTCCTATTAGTGAGAATTGGACTGAGTGCTTGCTTGCTCCAGAGCTTCCTAAAGACATCACTGAGGTCTAACGTGCAAGTGCTGACTAAGGCTTACCCTCAGTTCTTAAATTCAGTGTTATTTATCAATTATACTGAGATGCTTTTAGTGTGTAAGGAAATAAGGTGTAAGAGCCGTAAATCCTTCTTTGTCATTTCATTATCCTCACCGATTATTCACTACCTGAACTGTTGAATGAACAACAAAAGATCAGGCATATAGTAAACATGCCTATTTTTGCTTTGAAAGAAGAAGGTATTAAACTAAGCATACCTTCTTTTGACTAATGGAGCAATCTTTGCTTTTCATCTTCTAAAGCTTACAGTCTACTTGTTGAATCATCCCTTAAGTGTAATAAAGTAATGAATGCATGCTCTTCCATTTCTCCTTCTAAAAATTTATGATCAAATGTACTATGGATTATGGGAGGAAGAAGATTGTTTTATCTGCAGCAGCATGTGATTGCAAGATGCCAGTTTTTTTCCTTCTCCAGTTACAGAGGGCATTCAGACCTGACTGCTTTTCCTCCCTGTTTCTTAGGCTGATGTACGGCCTCAAACAGATGGCTGCAATGGTCTGAGGTATAATTTGACTTCAGATATCATTGAGTCCATATTTCGAACATATCCTGCAGGTAAGAATACTGCTTTACATAACACATGCATGCATTTAAGATTTGTTTTTTACTATCTTACTGTGGGAAGACTAGAATGTTAGTCTGAGCCAGGAAGTATAAAGGACCATATCTTCAGTCTTCTAGATGATTTCCCTGCCTCATTTGAGGGGTGGGAAGAAGCAGGTCTTAAAACATGCTTTTGAAATTAAATTATGATTTAGTTAAATGAAAATATTTAACTTGTTGTGTTGACCTTTTTTAAATTGTGAGTAGATCTTTGCTTTCCATGATACTCTCCTACTTAGATTTCAGTTCATTGTTATTTTCCATTAAATCAACTTTGGGAGGAAAATGATCTGATTTCCATCATTCCCCTGTGCTATATTGAAAACTGACACTGGTTCATTTTGGCCCGAGGTTAAAAAGTTTAGATCCATTCTGAGAACAACTAGAAATATGGCAAACCAGACTTCTTGTGTCTGCAATTCAAATTAGAGTATTCAGAGCACTGCTATGTGCATTTCTGTTCAAAGCGTTAGCTAGCATTGCAGAGCATAAAGGAGTACCTGTTTGCTCATACTTAACTACTGCATTTCCTTACGTTTAACTGGTATGAACGAAGGCAGCATTAGACAGAAAGCAAGAAAATTTTAACCTAAAATACAATATTAACATTTGCAGAGCAGTTTGTAACCATTATGGTTTTTGTTCACAGTAAAAATGAAATATGCAGAAAATGTTCCACATAACATGACTGAGAAGGAATTCTGGACTCGATTTTTTCAGTCTCATTATTTCCATCGGGACAGGCTCAATACAGGCTCAAAAGACCTCTTTGCGGAGTGTGCCAAACTGGATGAAAAAGGTGGGCTTTCTGACTTTGTGTCTGCAGTAGGCTGCTGCAGGCTTAGCTGTATCATAGAGCACAACACTCGAGGTATATCTAGTACATCTACCAAAGCTGAAGTCAGAAGTTTTTGTATGTCCGTTTACTGGGCATCTTGTTTGTCAAACCATAAAGTGAAAGCTACAGATTGTCACTGAAAGTTAGCTATAGCTGTTATTCTTTGCATGTTTGATAGCAGATGCATTTCTTGAAACAAATTAGCCTTTGGAAAGTGGTAGCACTAGAAATACTGTTTATCACAACCCATGCAACAGTAAATCTGTGATAAATTCCATAATATGCTGTCATGTTAGATTGATTATGCTCTGCCATCAGTTACTATGGAATAATTTTGTTTCCATCAGCCTTTATTCTGTGGTATGTCCACAATTTACAACAGGTATAGCTTATGTAATAGATCAGTTTTTAGTAATAGACAAATATGGATCCTGTTTTAAGATTTTGCAGAGGAGTTGCCATCTCTGTTCTCTGTCAGCCTTTTTAACGTGAAATCTTAAAATATTATCTGACTTAAGTTTTCATCAACCTTTTGAGGTAGGTTTGTGATGGTACAGAAACGTGGAGAGTTGAGATCACTTAGCACCATTCCTTAATATGTATTCTGACTCATGAAAGCATTCTATTAGGATTCCACAACCCTTCACAAGTTATCACCAGATACAAATTACCGTTCTACCCAAGACAGGGCAGTAAAACAATGATGAAATTAGAACACACACAAAATTAAGGCTTCCTATTTCCCACTAATACAACTACATCTTCAGGGGGGTTTTTTACTAAACAGTATTCAATGATGTGTAGATGTTGATGAAAACTGCACTAATTAATAGGATGATCTTTTATAATAACTTCCCAAGTTTATTGCTTATTTTAAATGGAGCTTTGAAAAGGGTTGAAAGTTTTAGTCACAGTGATACTTGGCATCTGCAGAAGCTTTGTCTCCTCCTTTTAAAAGTTAAATATAATCTAATAATCCCTAAATTATTCCTATATGTTTAGCTACAGTTTTTAATTTTTTTGTTTGTTTCATACAGGTTTGAAGACAATGGTGTCTCAAGGAGTAAAAAACCCTCTGATAGATTTAACAGCTTTGGAAGATAAAACATTAGATGAAGTAAGTAGTTGGCAAAAAAACCCCATACCCCTTTAGTTTCATTTAAGGAGAAAGTGGGTCCTTCTCCTGTTAAAATAACTACAAATGCTAATTCTAGAACACATCACTTACTAGGCTGCTGCAGTGGTTGGGTGATCAACATTTATGCTGTTGGACGTGTGTAAAGAAATGGAGACTCTGCCAGTGGACCTGGATGCCCGGGATGCCTGCTTTACTATGCTGGGTATAAGGGCAGGACTTCCCTTTTTACAGAACTGCTGTTTCACTTGGATGGCTTTTTTCTCTAAAGTGGGCTCTCTGGTTTCTTCCTATCTTTTGGAAGCTGTGACAATGTACAGAAGGGTAGCACAAAACAGGAAAAAGTCTTTGCATTTGTTCTCACTTTGACCACTGGTATTTGTTTGATTCAGCTTAATTTTAAGGACACTTTATACAGTTTTATTTGTTTAGCTTTAAATACTGTGTTTGGTAAAAATATGACTAACTTGAACTATTACCTGCCTTCAAGTACAAATTAAAAGAATTGTTATAAATGGTGTACCATAAACTGTGTACTTTTCTGCATTGAATTAAACTTTTGAGTTGTAATTAATAATGATGCTGTATTACTAAGGGTTTTTTTTAAGAGCTATCCAAAGCTAACAGTCTGAAACTGGACTAGGAGTTTAGGATAGGTATGTTTGAAATACTATGCAAATTGTCCTCGTTTGCTTTTGAGGCTGGTTAACTGCAAGCATGAAACAGCATGGGGTAAAGTGAGTTGCCTTCAGCCACCTGGTAACTGGGGAACACTGCCAACATTGAGGCTCAAGGTTTTTTTTGAATTCCTAGTGGTATCACATCCTCCTGACAGGTGTCATTTAGCCTGTGGGCTCCTGGTGTCTCACAAGATGTCAAAAAGAGGTCAGTAAAACAATTGCTAGCTCTTATTTGCCATCAATGCCTGTCTCATACAAGTGATCCTTAATTTTTAAGCTAGCTCTGTTTTTATTTATAACAAATCATGGTCTTATAAAACTATCTGTTTAAGAATTTTTTTCTTCTGACACCTCTAAACTGACAAGTGTTAGCGGAATAAAATAGCCTATGGAGATTTTTTCAAAGTACATAAGGTGATGGTGGAGGAAAGGTAGGAAAATCCTGCTTCAGGTGATGCAGGATCACTCAGTGAAGTTCAGAGGAGGTAGCACACAGGCTTCGTGACTCAATGGAAGACAGAGAATCATCTTTCTGGTTTTGGGGCAGGAGGTAGCTAATGTTGTTTTATTTGTAGGGCTATGGTGTTGCTTCTGTGGCCTCTACATCAAATGCCTCAAAATCTGCTAGAGAAAGTAGCAACGCTGCCATTATAAAACGCTTTAATCATCATAGTGCCATGGTCCTTGCAGCTGGTCTCAGGAAACAGTAAGTTCCACTGTTGTGTAAAAACTTTTTTGTAATAAAATTTTAAGGAATTGCCAAAATTAAAATATATCATCAATTAGTCATCCAACCTTTTCTTTTACTTTTTAAGAATGAAAGGAAAATACCTTAAGGTTCCATTTTACTTTCAAAAGTTCTTCAGCGCTGTCTGAGATGACAACAACTTAGCTAAAAATAGCATTTATCATACAAAGCAGATTAAAAAGGGAAAGGATGTTTCTGCCTTAGTTCTTCAGCCCTGGTGAAGGCTGCAGAAGCACTATTCTGTTTGCTGGACAGGTAAAGGGAGTTCCTATCACCTGCCTTCCAGGAGCAGCTCTGCTGGGGCTTCCTCTAGTGGGGTGCAGAGACATATGTAAATAAGAAAGCAAAAGAACAGCGTGGCATGGGTGGATCAGATGAAAGATTTTTCCAGTGCAGTGCCCTGCCCCTGACCAAAAAAATGTATCAGCTGGTTAGGTGCATTTACAGTAAACTTCATAAATGAAACTTCTTAAAAGAGGCATGAAATTGATTAGATGTGAAGTCTGCTTTACTACTGGTTTATAGATGGTCACCAAAGGATTACTACTCTACCCAAATCCTACAGACCTTGCCTGTGAGAGTTCTTAAAAACTTTCTTCTGGGTAGCTGTGCTCCCTCATGTTGTTGTTCTCTCTTACACAGATTGAACAGTGGACCTTAAACAATCTCTTCTGGGTAGTGTGTGTTTCTGTTTCTCAGTTCAGAAAGAGACAAAACAATTCTCATTCTGCAATTCTCTCATTCTGCAACTAGTACCTCAAAGGCTCCCGTAGCTCTGCTAATACCTGGCTGGAATAAGTGTGTATGCCAAGTGTTCCTAATTTAGGCATGATTTTGCTGTGTCCTACTTGCATAGTGGCAGTCTAGATCAACTTCTAGAAACAAAGGCAGAAGGGGAAAAAAGTTAATATACAGCATATGAACATGTATATAAAATTTTTGAAACAGATGTATTTACTTTGTCTCTAGCTTGTATCTTAAGTTTCCTGTGAGGTGAATTCTTCTTAATGCTGTTTCTCTATTTTAAGAGAAGCACAAAATGACCATTACAGTGAGACCAGCAGTACGGATGGAAACTCCAGGGATTCAGATTTCTTTCAACCACCATTGAAAAAGGTATAAAGTTAGTTGATGCAATTCTAAATGAATGGAAGTGGAAGCTCTGTCTCCCAAAAGATTGCTGAAGCTTCATTGTTTTATGATGCATCTAAAGTGACACTTACTTAGCTTTGAGTAGAAGTATCTAGAATAAGAACCTGAGGGCCTGTAAGAAACTGGGTACCTCTGTTAGTAAACACAAATAAATTATGCCTTGAAGTGTTGTTCTGTCTATCTCTTCAGTAGTGCCCAATGAAAGTAAAAAACTTCCAACATGCTTCTGATTGGACCCAGAAATCTAGTTCTTTCAATGCGGTTCTATTTTTGCCCTCCTCCTTTTTTTTTTTTTCCCAAATGCCTGAAAACTTCTAGAGAACATCCATCTGAAAGGGATATTGGCGTTCAAGCACCGATATTAACCTATAAAGTGCATTGTTTGTAGAGGAAATTATTAAACTGCCACATAGCAGCCTTCATCTTAAGGTCAGAGGCTGAAGTGAGGTTAAACTGAAAGCGGCGTGACACCTGGTGAACTGAAATACAGAACAGTCTGGTTGAGACTAACCATAGCAGCTCACAAAGTAGAAGAGAATACTGTAATTGCTACAAAACTGAATTGAATACTTCTGCTAGTGTTAACAGCCTAAACATAAAATGCCAAGGGGACTCAAAACGTGCATATATTGTGAGAAAAGTTTGTAGAATACATGTGTTAAGTGTTGAGGTAGTCACCAGCTTTGACTTTCCTGAAAGCTGCAGTTTTTGCTGGGGAGTAAACGATATACCAGCACAAGAATAATTGTAATGAAAAGAGGAGTGGAAGAGTAGCATGAGAGGAGGAGACTCCAATAGTAGTTTTCTCATTGTACGATGCAATATCACTATGCTGTTATCTCTCTTGGCTAATGTTCTAGAGCTCTGCTGTCACCAGATAGCCTGGGTAACTATTATAGTTTTACACTCTTGTACACCACCCATTAAATCATTACTATTTCTGCTAATCTAGAGATAGGTGGGCAAAAACAGAGAGCACAAAGAATAAGCAGAACACTTTTTGGAAGTGTCAGGGACTGCAAGTTTTGGCCAGAATCTGCAGAAAAAGCAGTAGTGCCAAGACATCCAAATTGCACACCTTGAACAAAATGGGGCACCGCTGCCTCTGGAGGCTAGATGCGAACCATTCCACACTTTCATTTTCTTTAAGGTTTTAGCAACCCTTCCGCTCAAACTCAGTAAACTGGTAAAAAGCACTAGATGCATCAAATTGTGTCCTCATTAGTAACGGGTGTAATTATTTGGCTTATTTTAGGTGAAACTGCAGGAGTCCATTGAATATGAAGATTTATCAAAGAATAATAGCATTAAAACTATTGCACTAAACTTAAAGAAGTCTGATAGGTAAGTTAACAAAATATCCATGGCTATTTCAGCATATTTGATCTAGCAGGTCTCCCATCACAGCCTGTACAGAATCAGCTGCTTTAGTCTCTGCTGTGCCACACTCAATTGTGTTTAGGCTAAGTTTAGAAACCTATTATGAACTCCTGAATAAACGAGCTTCCAAGTAATTCCCATTTAAATTTTTAGTTTAATTTCATCTTCTAGTTTCTTCAGCAAGTGAAGCCTCTGTAGGCCTACTTGAAGGGCTTTGACATGTAATTTCTGTGAAAGTCTTAGCAGACCTGTATTCACAGTTCAGCACTTTGTTGTAGTTTACAGTGGAAAAATGCACGTGTCACATGTGAAAATATATACATGATTCCAAGGAAAATCCACTCCCAGGCAAAAAAGTGCAGTTGGGATAGTTTGGACTGCTTACTGGTCCAGTATTTTTCTAGTAGTCCTCTTGTTTTCTAGACTTTTGAGTTTGAAAACCATAGATATAACTTCAGAAAAGGAGTGATACCATAGGAAAGAGAACGGTTCCAAATGTGCACCTAACTTCATTTAGCTTAGTTTCAATCAAAAGCAGTGTGAATTCCTCCACTCTAATGATATTCCCAGACCTAGGTGCCACAGATAGCTTTTCATTAGGAAAATCATGCTCGCAGATTCAACAGTAGAAGCTCTTCTCTGATTTTGCTGCCATACCATCCCTAACCCAACCTCTTCCCATGCAGCAATGTATTTTACTTTGTCAATAAATAAGATTTAGATAGTAGTGTCAACAGCTGAAAAGCATCTGAAATGGGAAACATTTGAAGAACTGTCCACTGAGCTTGGCCTCTGTTTCACCAGCACTCCTATTAATACACTTTTGTCTTTCCTTTTCTCATCTCACAGGTATTACCATGGTCCAACTCCAATTCAATCACAGCAATATGCAACCAGTCAGGATATAATTAATTCTTTTAATAGTATTAGGCAAGAAATGGAAGCTTATGTACCCAAACTAACTCAGGTATGGAATCTTGTTTTCTATATAATTTAGTGTTTCATGTGTACTAGAATTTTAATTTTTCACGGTAAATTTAATTATCTCCAATATTTTTACATTATTCAATTTATTTTACAACTTTAGTCAACACCTTTTGAGCTATTGTGTTTAAAATCTACAGAATAGGAAACTGAGTCATTGCTGATACTAAGTTATATTCTACTGTTACCATGTTCTTTTGAGGAAATAGCAAAGGTGTGAAGTAGTGAAGCAGGACAGTCATGCAACATGAAACACGCCAATATTATTGATGCCACCCCCTGAAATTTAGGATGTACTGGTCTTAGGAGGTCATAGTAAGCAGGTTTATAACTGAACAGGCTTTTGCTCCTAAGTGCACTTAGGCAGGACATAGTTCTCACTGTGGGCTGCACAGAGTCTGTGTCCTGGCAACTGGAGGGCAGCATCACCATGTAGACAGTCTCCTCGGCCAGTGTCTGAACTCTGTTAGTAAACCTAGACTTGGCCCTAAGTCAAGCAGGCCCACCTGTGAATGTGTCACATTTCTGTATAGTAATTCTCTGTCTCTTTGTAAAGTAGCTGCACAGCCAGTTAATGCGCTAGGTAAATAAAAGGTTTGTTTGTCCATAATTAATTGGAGAGCTTTCATTGAAAACATACGCTATAGCACTTAAAGGCACCATGTCTAGTTCTTGAGAAGAGCAGAACTTCTGTTGAATCTGATCAATTGTATCTTTGACATTGGAGTTCAAATACAACTTATTTTAAAAAGATTTTGTTGGGAAAAGTGATGTGAAATCTTTGCTTTCTCTCTCCCTTCAGGTTCTTTCAAGTAGTGATGCTACTAGCACTATTGCAGCCCTGTCACCTGGAGGAGCACTTATGCAGGGTGGAACACAGCAAGCCATAAACCGTAAGGATTTAGGATGTATAATACTTTAATCACATCTTATTGCATTATACAGCAGTACCTGGCTTGCTGTTTCATCTCCCTCTTGGAATATGTTACAGTGATAAAGGAAATTTTGGAAACATATATCTGTAGTAATACTGGGTTACAGCAACAAAATAACAGCAGCAATCCAGCCACACCACGAGGGTGGTACTGGCTACACCAGTGCTGAGGCAAGTGAATGAGAACATTTTACAAAGCCAGTGATGAAGGATGCACTTGATACCAAGTTCTCTTAGAGATAATGGGTTTTGCTTGTTCAGCATTTCCTTTTTATGATTTTTTTCCCCCCCTGGATTTTAGAAAATAAAGGCATACTCTGGGAAATCTCTAAGAAGGCAAGGTCTAGATAATTGTCTGTAACTAGGTTTTTTGCACCCTGCATTTAAGATCCACAGCTTGCTGTGAAAAAGCGCAACTCTCTTGTAGACTGCAAGGCCAATACACACAACCTCTCCTTCTCACATCTCTATTCAACCACCCCTTTCCCTGTTGTCACATTCCTGCCAGTCTGAGTTCCTTTCTCTTTAGTCCCACAGCAGATGAATCCTCATTCTCATTCAGCAGGGCTTATACTTGTGTTACTTGGTCTGAAGAGCAGCAGAATCAAATTCAGACAGCTGAAAAGCAAGTATGAGTTCTTTATGGTACTGAAAGAAAAGGAGTCAGCAAGCAGTGCTGAGGCTTTCTTACCCATCCCAGTTGACATACTACTGGGTGCTACACTCCACTTTTTTGAGCCTGAGCACCACTTTTTTTTTTTTTTAAAACAGCCTCATTCTTGTGTTCTTCAGTTCGCTGTGCTCCTGTCATCATTAGTGACTGCTTGTGCTTTTTGTCTTAAGTTTTTATGATTGTGGTTCCTTCCCTGTTCTTGAACCCTGTTGCCCTTTCTTCTTTAACTGTATCTGGGATACAGTTCCTTGTTCCTGCCTGGATTTTTCATCTTCCACACTGTGTCCATATTCTTATTGCCAGTCTAAGAGAGGGAAGAGCTTGCAGCACGCACACAGTATTTAGCACTGTGCTGTGAAGAGAACCAGGTGCTGATCCCAGAAGCAGTACTGCTGTGCTGTTAGAACAATACAAATTTACTGCTTCTAATCCTGGATTAAGTTTGTCTGGCATAGATCTCCCTATATAATATAGAAGTTTCCAAGTAAATAGCAACAAATAGCTTCTTCATTAGCCTTACGTTCTCATTTTTCATATGATAGTTTTGAGTTGTGACAAAAACTTTGTTCTGTTACAGAGATGGTGCCAAATGACGTTCAGTCTGAACTAAAACACTTGTACGTGGCAGTGGGGGAACTGCTACGACACTTCTGGTCCTGCTTTCCTGTTAACACGCCATTCCTAGAAGAAAAGGTAAGGTGGAGGCTTCCTAGTGCGGCCCTGGTTATGATGGGGCCAGATCATGGTTTAGAATGACTGTCATTAACTTGAAGTACAGAACTAGTACGCATGCTTTAGATCAGTGTAGCAGTTACTCATCCCTAGAGCTGAAGGTCATACAAAAATGTAAAACAAATTATGTTTTTCAGCAATTCTGCTGGTGCTATTGGTTAAATTAATCCTTGTCCCTGCATGCCTGTTAGCGCCCTTCAGGAGCAGCTGCTGTAAGCTAGTTTCAGACAGAATGGTCATCTATATTCTACCTGGAGATTTCTCATTGCCAGCTTAAAACACACAAACTAAAGCCCCTCTTTCCCCGACTCTAAGACATAACCTCTGCAGTGACAGTTACAAGAAAATTTTCCTTATTCTTTTATCCATTGCAAAAATCACTCAGTCATAGCTTCAAAACATACACTGCTTTTTAGAACAAAGTTGGCTTCAGAAAGAGATGTCCGTCTGCAACCAGGTATACGATTGTAACTATTTTTCTGTTGCTGTTCTTTCTTTTGACCTCACATGGATCACAAAGATAAAAATTTGCATTCAGATATGTTGGATTTTTCTGCTGCAAAATGTGGCCTGAAAATCCATGGTACAGTCTTTGCTTGAGGAAAAAAAAAAAAAAAAAAGATGTTTTTGTGAATATCTTATCTATAGCATTTACTGACAAAGTAGTAATGGTCACCGTGGCACACTGCACTTTCGGTCATATCGCACTTACCTTAAAAATAAATACACACTCAGGAATTATTAAAATATCAGTCTCTAGCAACTTTTCTTCCTCAAACTATACATTCTT